ATAGGTATATATATTTGGAAATATGGGTGTATTATGTATGTGTATGTATGTATATATGTATATGCAGATACGTATGTTTAAACGTCCAACCAGACATTTGTATCACTTTTTAAAATAATCTTTAGTGAATTTAAATTCAAACATCGACAATTATGCAGCAGGTACGATATTTATTATAAATAAATTATGGCTTCCTCTGTTCATGAGTACGGGATACAGCATCTGAATTAAGCGTAAGACGGTGAAGGAGCGGGCTGATAAGAAGTTGATGGAGCAGGCTGATAAGCTGGATACTGTGCTTCCCCTTCGTAGGTGACTTCTGCCACGTAGCCGGACTCGCCATCGACGTAGTAGGTGACCTTCTGCAGACGGCCGTCGGGGAGCTGCACATAATACGTTCCCTGTGTGTTGTAGCCATCGCGGTCCTCTTGATGCCCATAGTTGTTTCCAGAATATTCATCGTTTACATTATACTGGGCATTGTATTGGGGCGGAACCTGCAAGAGGAAATTAAAGGTACTCCTTAAGCACCTAAACATTGACGATTCGCTTCATATTATCAACATAGTATCACAAAATAATTACAGTACAATACACCCACACTCACATCTTCATAAACAGGAGCACTGTAGGAAGGAGAAGGGCGGACGGGCGCGCTGTAGGACGGACTGGGAGGCGAGTACGAAGGGGCTGGGTGAGCAGGAGGAGAGTAGGAAGGTGTCTCGGGTCGGGCTGCGACGGCCACTGCGAGCGCGGCTAACACAGTTAACTGAAAAAAAGAATAATATATATATATATATATATATATATATATATATATATGTTTGCGAAAGCATGAAAGACAAATAGTTAAAGATTCTTCGCTATAACATGTTCTCCTCACTGCGTGTAATTTCACCTTAAAAATCATGTTTGTAGTGGAATCTCGATAGAACTAAAACATTGAGAAAAGTCAAAGTCTTTTATAGTGTCTTCTGCGGCACCGCCTTATGACGTCACCGACTCTTTTTAAATTTAGCTTCCTCTTTCGCAATATTTTTTTTTCTTTCTGTTTTGTTGAACACACTTACATAATTCTGAATATGAAATAAAAAGGGCATTGAATCCCTAAGCTATATTATATTCTTTGTGCAGATATCGAAATGTACATACCCTCTACAAACATCTCCCTATAATATATATATATATATATATATATATATATATATATATATCAATAGACGCATATAGAAGCGTTTTTGACATACTTATATAAGTAAAATAGATTTAGCCTACTCATATATTTTGATTGTAAAGTGGTTCTGCTTCCAATGTACATTTCTGGTGTGTTTATCACTGATGGATATGTGGGTAGATGATAGATCGATAGAGATGTGCGTATGAGAAAAAATGCCACTCATTGAAGTACCACCGCTAATAATATCCCCGGCAAAACATAAACATTAATATGAAATATTACCTGTGGCGATGGTCCCCATTGTGGGTCTTGGGATATTATTCATTTTCCGTGAACATAATGAATGGATTACGAAACAGCCGTTATTCAGGCTGTTTTTTTCTGTCCTCCAGCAGTTGTAGCAAAACGTTCACCGGCAAACAAGAAATGCGAATCGTCGGACTTCAAATAGCCATCTAGTCGGTCATCGAAAACCGACAATATGGCAGTCCATCCGCTCATCATAGCTAAACCAGAATACGAAAAAACTTTATCAGGATCTGTGAATTCGTTTGTGTGTGTGTGACATAGGTATATATGTATGTATATATATATATATATATATTTGAACTCTATTAACAAATTCATTACTAATTTATGCCCAAGCCAGTATATTTTGGGTTTATGTGTTTGTTTTTTCTTTTATTATATATTTAGATGCTATCTCGCTAAGCAAAATATACTATAATCGATTCTATATTTCGTGTAGCAAATAAGGTCGAAATATTTTGTGTGTATGATAGGGCGGGTTGGAATGAAGTAGATAACTATATGTATATATATATGTGTGTATATATATATATATGCAAATATATATATATATATATATATATATATATATATATATATACATGTATATATATATATAATATATATATATATATATATATAATATATATATATATATATATATGTATGTATACATATACAGATTCGTATATATATATATATGATATATATATAAATATATATATATTTGTACACATACATACACACAGACTCGTATATGTATATATGTATGTATATATGTGTGTATATATGTTTATATATGCATACATATACATGTATGTATACATGTATGTATATATGTATATGTGTGCGTATACGTGCTTGTATATGTATGATATGCAATTGTATATGTATATGTGTGTGTGTGTGCATGTGTGTACGTATATACATGTGTAGGTATATATATTTGGAAATATGGGTGCTTATGTATGTATATGTATGCATATATGTATATGCAACTACGTATGTATAAACGTCCAACCAGACATTTGTATC